AACGTCACGGAAATCATGTGGAATGATCACATAATCATCAACTCACGTCCCGATCACTTACTACTGAATTGGGGCAGAGGCATGCTCATCATCATCCCCCGTGTTTTGATAGAGGGAATTTATTTTCGTTCTGTTCTCTCGAGTTTGGTAGTTTCGCTCAGACAGAGCGAAAATTCCGCAGCAGCGTCGGCATGCTCAACAAAGGAAGCTCGCCGTCTGCGTCCTCCTCTCGCTCGTCAGGTGGGGAGGTAAGGGTGAACTGGGCATTCGGGAGCTCGAGGGGCTCGAGGGAGCAGCTGGGCATGGCTGGGGCATCCCGCTCCTCCCGCCATCCTTCTGCGTTCGTAGCATCGTTTTGGGGAGAAAGTCGGGTCTCCTCCCTTCTCACCAATCTCTCCGAATGCAGCAGAATCGAGCGCGCAGCTTGTCGAGCAAAGTCGCTCTCATCCTAGCTAACCTTTCCTTTCGTCTTGGTCAAGTCTCGACTAGGGTCCATGTGTTGGAACTTGGAACGGACGAGGGAATGCTCGAAACAACGAATTTTTAACAGACGACCGAGCAGCCAGAATACGAGCGAAACGAATGAACATTTTTTCTTGCACGGGCCAGAGCGTATCAGAGTTATGAACCCTTTGACCAGTTTGTCAGCCAGAGGGAAATCTATTAGACGAAATAGAAACCTAGAGACACAGAAGGAACGAAAGCATTCGTCTGGCTCCCGAATGTGTGGACTCTGAGAGCGCGCTCGTAAACAAAGACTTCCATGTTTTGGGGAATTTTTAAGTGAGAGAAATGTGTGGGTTTGTTCGAGATGTGAAGGCTATCAGCTGCCTCAAATTAGGAGAATCGGGAAAACCGGGGAGAGACGGCGGGTGGAAAGTCTGACTGAGAGCAAGAGGGTCTTAAGACGACGAATCTTGCTCGGAGCGGGAGAAGCTCCGGTTCAAGGTTCAGAGCAGGCTCGTCCTTCGAGTGTTTTGCTTGGCGAGATAGACAGCCGGATGAGCCGTCACGGCCGCCGCTGACGCTTCATCATCGTGGGGAGGAGCGTCTTCTACTAAAGGGACACGCTCACTCTCCCCAAGAACGACCGAGACATAGAAAGGAAAACGTGGGGAGATGGAACTGGAGCCGATTGTTGTCCAAAGCAGTAGATACAGAAGTTCGGAGAACCCTAGGGACAGTCGCATCGTCAAGAAGCGGACTCTGACGCGACGTTCCGGGTGATCAGGTCCCGAGAGCGCAAATCAAGGACATGGTAAGGAGCTGATTGTGAGCAGGGAAGAAATCGGAATATTAATACACGAAGGAGATGGATGATTCTAGACCGTATGGGAAGCGCGATCCTCTGGAAGCTGGGGAATTCCATCCAGGGTATTGCACTCGGCTCGAGGGATTCCGGAAACGAAAGAGAACGTCCCCGTTAATCATTGGGTCACAGGAAAACATTCCTGAAGATCAGTGCTTCACCAAATTTCCCCTTCTTTCCCTCCCCCGGAGATCCCGCGCGGTCCGAGGCGACTTATTCCCCTTCCGAGAAGAATCGGCAGTGAGCAGCAAACACTTGATGATACATTGCTATAAACATCGATGATGTGAACGTTTCAGCCGGTAGCCAGGGCAGCAAACTTGCTCCAGGTCTGCGAGACGGTGTCTAATCATTGTGAGCATCAATGGCGGCTGTTGAATGTGTTGTTCAGGAGAACTGTTCGACGTCAGCGGGTTCGTTGGTTGGCTGAAAGGCTATTTTCCACCGCGGGTGCCTTCAGCTACCACCAGGAGGCATGCTCAGACAGCGAAGCAAAGAAACTCCAATCTTGTTTTGCTCGACAATAAATCTCAGTGTTTGGGCTCGATCGACGGATGAGCGCCCGAGCGAGCGGAAGGAAGTCAGCGTAAATTTATCCGGAGAGTCATTTTTTGTTTATTGTATCGTGGTTTCGTGACGCTCGTATTCCCCGATGGTTGGACGGAACACGATGGGGACGACGACGCGGCGCGATCAACGAGTCGGGACTAAACGGCAGCGATTAACGCGACGAGATAAGATATCACAAGGGAACTCGTTGTGCGGCTGAACGCTGACGAGACGTCGCCATGAGCCTGATCCTATTGCAGTCAATAGGCGTAATAGATTCGATGGCAGTGTTGAGAGCCGCGGCCTTCGTCGAGTCCTCCCGGTCTTAGTAGCGGGTTGTGACGCGCTGAAAATCACGTGAGATCTACTGTCCCTCGGAGCAGAGTTTCCTCCACCCCGAAATTACCCTCGACTTCCGCTTTTCGTCTACGGCGCACTTCGATCGACCTGACACGTCACTTTGATGCCAGCGAGCTCGGAACGATTGAGACAAACGACGCCGGCGTCTGACCTCATTGAGCCGCTCTCCCGGAGAGAATCCATTCCCTCAGTAAAGCCTCGGTCCGTCGATGTCGTTTCGAGAATCAACTGAAATCTCTACAAAGTCCGCTCAGTGAGCTTCTGGGAATCGGGAAACTTCCCCGAGGCTTCGAGCGCTGCGTTCCGCGCCGTACACCCTCGAGTCCACTATTCTATCGCGCCGTTCACCGTGTTGCACATGATACATCGGATTTATTCCGTCTGTATTCCTAAGGAGCAGGAATGAATCAACGACATAAGAGCGCGATCGATTAGGCAGTTCAGCTTTCCGGAGGCAGAGCCGCGGACCGAGAGCGCGGGCACGCGCGCGCATCCGCTCAAGGGACAAAAGACTGGGGCCTCTGATGCTTTAACCTCTACTCTTGACAGACTACCGATCTGACGGTGTGTTCCTTAAAGGGAGGGACGGGCTCGCCTAATGACACGTCCCGATTTCACGCGTAGCGACTATTCCACACGCGCCACTGAATCAAATGAACTCGTGGCGCCTTCGGACAATTTTCGCACTTTAAAGGACTCCGGTCCGCTGTCGAGAGCGTTTGGGACGAGTGTTCCGCCGATTCGCTAGAGTCTCGCAGAACCTAAACATTTGAGTCGCGTGAAGAAGCGATCCTCGAGTGATCGGGTCTCGCTTCCACGGTCATGACCGCGATTCACAATCCAGGAGAGAAGTTCTGTCGAATTCCCGTACAAGGAGCGTGGAGGAGCGAACCTGGAAAAGATTCATCATTTGCAGAGCTCCGCAATTGCGCGGAATTTTTCCAGAAACTGCACGGCGCAACCCGGGTCGCGATATTCAGAGAACGACACAGCACGTCGCCGCGGCGTCGTACGTAACCTTATACGTTTATAAAGTTCCCGGAGGCTGTTCCGAAGTCACTCGGACAGAGTCGAGTTGATCCTGATCCGCCGGCGGAGATTAAGTTGTCAACTTCGAATTTCTCGCAGAGTTTCAAGCAAAACCCGCTTGTGTGTGCCGGTCCTGTTCTATCAAGGTGGAGCTTTTGTCGTAGAACACGAACCTTACCACACCGGGTAACTTTCTTTCGACCGAGCTCAATCTCTGACAGCGATCGCCGTGACCGATCAAAGAATCGCCCGCTGAGTCTCGTTCCTTGATCTCGAGCCTTCTTCTTGCATCCGCTGGCAGTTTCGCCTGACACCGTCGAAAACTTGAATTCCACCTCTCCTCCCGTCCCTTCCCGAGGTCTCTGTAGGAACAAGAACAGGGAGCTCGTCAGATGGTCGCGTCTATGAGCTTACCGGAGCTCTCTATTGGGCTCTCTTTGAAACTCACTGAGCGAAGAGAGTATTCTTGAACAAGGTCGGGATTGTTCGTTCGATAGCGGGATTCTTCCTCCGACGGAAAGCGTCCGCCGCTCGTCGTAGACCGGGAAGCGTCACGGCGGCAACGACAATAGCGGCACAAATAAATCAATCCGAAACTGAGTGTTCCAGATACGCTATACGAGAGCTTAAGGAGCGGAGAGCGCGCTGATCCGATGTGATGTCGACATGTCTGCTCTTCCTCCTCGTGTTGCTCGTTGTTTTCCCGCCAGGGCCCCTGTATCCACACACGGTGACATCTGTGGATGGAGGCAATAGCTGTAGCTGTTGTTGTTGTTGTTCATGCTGTTGTCGTTGTTGGCGACGGCCGCTGTTATTAGTCGAAGCAGCAGCCATGCCTCACTGCCAATCGGCGGAGCGGGTTGTCTCAATGGCGTTGTTAGCCGGAGCCACAGTCCTTAGTTAGGGATTGCCTGAAGGCGAAGCACCGAACTCCCTGATTGTGACTGGACTATGTTTACATAGTCCGATCTATTGAGTTAGATGGGGCGTTGGCTTTATTTGCTCTCGAGCTCCAGACAAACATTCCCCATGAGGTTGCAAAGCTCAAAACTCGCTCCATCGATCACTGAACGCTCCCAAGACAGGCTCGGGAAGCTCTCGGAGTACCTAGGATTGGGCTCTTCCCATTCTCCGGCAGGTTTCCGAAGTGTTGCAACTCGGTTCCTGTGCATATGGAACCGATTTTTTTTATCCTGAATAGCACCTAATAAGTAATGCACCGGGTTGATTATGATTCAGAGTATGTTAAGTTCCGAGCGATGCACTCGGCACTCGGCTGATCTTCCGCGCAGCTTACGCACTCGTCATCACAGTCGAAAAATTCAGCCACCCACATTCGAAAGCCACCCTGCGAATCCTTCGAATTGTTGGCTGGCGTGTGCCCCAAAGACGCAAACAAACGGCAGTCAGACGGCGCGAAATGCGAAATTCGGCGAGCACGATGGGGTGGGGGGAACGTTGTCCACAAGTCTCGAATGCATTTTGCGTTGCGTGCCGATGCGTTGTCATCAGCAATCCAAGTTGGGCGGCCGCGTCTAGCACGTCGTCACTCATGTTCAAAATCTCGCAGAAAGCACTCTAGATCCTACAACGAACTTTCGAGTCCTTCCCCGGAGTTCGATAGTCAACACCTCGAGGTGGAAAACGAAGAAGAGGTCCGCAGAATCTCGAGCCTCAACGACCGCAGCACCTATTTCGAAAAAAATGCATTTCACATGCACACACCTTACTTCACCTGCTTCACTCCCGCACTATGACTCGCTGTTCGATGATCTCGATTCCATAGTGGCTCTTTTGTTTCGATGAGACCAGCAGAGAGTCCCCCAGGAATTGGAGGGGGTCCGATTCTGGAACCGTGGACCGAACGCGGACCACCGACCTGAACACCGAGAAATTCAAACCTCTATTCTATCTTACAGCTGATCCTGACGACGTGCCGAAGATCTCGGAGCATCCGTCCGACGTCGTCGCGCTCCGGGACGACCCTGCTCAGCTGAACTGTGGAGCTGACGGCGCAACGCAGGTCCAGTGGTTCCACAAAGGAAAATTAGTTCGGAACAAAGGTGGCCGTACCACGTCGCCTCTAGGGGTTTTGTTTTTCCTCTCAGTCTCTCATGCTGACACCGGCGTCTATTGGTGCGAGGTTTCCAACTCCAAAGGAACAACGCGAAGTCGGAACGCCACTCTGAACATCGCCTGTAAGTGACAAGTCCCATCGTTTCCAGATGTACCTACTATAAAAAATCATTCCCCCAAGATACGCCGGGTATATTTTCCCTCTCCAGTTCTGGGCCTTCCCCTCCCCCTACCGGTCTTCGAACGAATGCCCTGTCTTGTCTTAGCAAAGTTCGACTGCACAAGGAAATTTGGTCTGACGGACCTTTTTCGACTCACCAAATCGGATAATTCGATGGTGTCCTCCTAGCTTCCTGTGCCGAGTTTCTCACCCTTAGCATCCCACAAGCAATGTGGGAGTGAAGCAAGTCATTGATGAAGTTTGCGCAGCGATTCGGCCAATGACATTAGCGTAACTTCCTTTCCCTTTACTCTCAGCTGCCCTCCCAATCTCTTACCTTACCAATCTCTTATCTTCTTACAAGAACTCACTGATGAAGCGCTGCATATCCTGTTTGATGCCACCAGAGCAGTTCGTAGGAAGATCGAGTTAGGCTAATCTCTTCCATCCCGTTTTCCCATGCTCTTGCAGATCTGCGCGAGGAGTTCAAGGTGACCCCGCTCGACACAGGAGTGGCTGTCGGAGACACGGTGATTCTCGAGTGTGATCCTCCGGCGGGGCTTCCTCGACCCGAGGTTCAATGGCTCAAAGAGGGTCAACCGGTTAGTAGTCGCATTTGATTCAATTTTTCGATGAGAGTCCACTCGGGTGAAGCTTCAAGACATAGGGAGAATCCCTTCGGATCATAGGCAGAAGAAGATCCTGGGAGATCAGCTGAATCAGCCCGAATCTGGAGAAATTCAGTACTGGATAATTTTTGAGTGCGACTCGCCTTCCCGCTTCCCGGCTCAAGGGGTCAATCAAGATTTCGGGCTCGACGGGAAATCCTCGGTCGAGAATCGAGATCAGGCGTCGTCAATGAATGAAAGGGATCGATGCGACCTCTGGCTTCGGATTATGAGCCCTCATCAGCTCGTTAATCGTCGGCGTCGCAGGATACATACATAGGGTACTTCCCACCCCTGAGAGAATCAGGACCAGCACAACGGGATCAATTATTGGAGCTGTCAGGGCTCCAACGATCCAGGTCAAGTCGGTCCGCTCGAGACCAGTTCCTTGAGATTTTCTTCCGAAAAGACTTCGCGGAGGCTTCTCGGAGAGCATCCTCCTGGGAGCTCTCAGGCTCGACGGAGAGCAGCTCAGACCCACTGACGGGCGAGCAGGAAACATTCGAAATAAAAGCCTCGGCTCGCTTCGGTTTCGGTGCCTAGGCGTCAGTTGACTCCGTCTGCCGCGGCTTTCTTCCCGTCTGTTTCTCGGTTGCTCTTTCCTTGCCGCCATTTTCCCTGGAGACGCCGTTTGTGGCTTCGTTCCCTTTTATGTTCTTCCTCGATTCGCTTGTTCTACGCTATTCTCGACTCGCGGATTGGATTTCTCGCGTTCAGCTCGTTTTCAGCTGCTCGGAATCGACCGGGCAAAATAAGTCCGCTTCACGGAGAGCGAAGGTATCACAACCTCCTTCCTCCATCCTGAATTTTATCCACAAATTGTCCTTGCGACGCTGTATCCCCTTGTGTCTTGCTGCGCTCTCTCCTCGCGCGAATCGCCGTATCCTCGAAGCCCTTTTTGTCGCTTCTTCCACATCACTGACAAACAGACTCGTGCTCGGCACCGAAAAACTCAACGAAGCAGTGCACAACTAATGATGAAAAGAGACCCGGAGAAAAACCGAACCGGGAAAAAGAAGCAGTTGAGACGGTAGCGAAAGAGATTGGAAAAGTCACGATTCAGCGGGACAGGATTGAAAAAGTGTCCGGCGGCTCGAGAGAGAAAGGACGCCCGCGCGCCGTTGTCGCTGATATCGGATAAAATATAAACTGGGTCGATTCTGCCAAATGTAGTCTTTGTAGAAAAATCTCCCGAGCTCGATTCCATTCGGTCTCGCTAGTTGGAGGTGTTGTGGATTTGTGACCAATCTGATTATCTTATCGAAAGATGACGAGGATTCGCCCGTGCCTGCCGGCTCGACTAAATCAGAGCGTTTCCAGGTCAACGTGGGCTCAGGTCGGAGTCGGATAAGATTCTCGGATAATTCTGGTAATCTAGTCATCCAGGATGTTCGCTCGGCGGATCAGGGCAGCTACGTGTGCAAAGCCGAGAACATGGTCGGAATTCGGGAAACGCCCGCTGCACGCGTGCGAGTTCACAGTGAGTTCTCAATGCAGAGGTTTTCGTTGTGGATTGTTGTGCGAGCGCTCACTACGGGTCGGTCACACTCGGAGATCGATGGCAAGCCATCAACTACCGCAGCGAAACGGCTGGAGGAGTGGTCAGCCGCCGCACGCAGACCAAGCTCTTTTGACCGTGGTAACGAATGCACAGCCGACTTGTACTCGGTCCGACGTGACGCTCCGGCCGCACTGGTGAGCCTCCGAGTGACCGTGAGCTTTCTAAATAGCCCCGATCCGTCTCCCCAGGCGCGCCGGTCTTTGTCGTAAGGCCCGAGGACACAACGGTCGTTGCTTACGACAACGACGTTCGATTGGACTGCAGCGCAGGAGGCGAACCCAGTCCCGTGATCAGATGGAAACGCCGTGAGGGTGAAGTGCGACAACTTTCGACGGGAGAACGCGTCAAGGTCACCGATGGAACGCCGACCACTAACCGGTCGTCGTCCTCACTCGAGATCCTGAATGTTGTTCCTGAAGATGAAGGAGACTATGTCTGCGAGGCCGAGAACCCCGCGGATACCATCAGCGCCACGGCCAGAGTCACGGTTCACGGTGGGTGCATTGCCTCAGGAACGACCAATTCTCCCGAAAAGGGACCGAATTGCCTGACGGCATAGGTATCCGGAGACGAGTGATCGAAGGGAATAATTAATTTTCCCGGTCTCTTTCAGCTCGACCCGTGTTCCTCGTGCGTCCTCAAGATCAGAAAACTAGTCTGAATGGCGTCGTGAGCTTCCAATGTATGGCCACCGGAAGTCCGAAACCGAATATTTATTGGACCAAAGAAGGAAATCAGGCGAATCTCATGTTCCCGAATAACACTTACGGCAGAATCCACATCGATCATTCCGGCGTTCTCAGTATTGCCGGAGTGAAGAAGGAAGATGAGGGATTCTACGTTTGCTCAGCGCTCTCGGCAATCGGTGAGTAGGAAGCAATCGAAATTCCTCCACTTCGGAGAAATGAAGCGGCGCGAAACGCGGTGGATGGAGCGAACTTCATTCTGATCGACTGAAATCTGAAACGGGAACTCTTGAAATACTAACCGCTCCCAATAAAGCTAATGCGACCGCGCAAGGTGCGTCGGGAAAAAACGAAACCGGCGGTCTCCAGGCCGCCGCGCCGTGAGAGGCGTAACCCACGCGACTGACCGACCGACCAGCCGAACGTGAAAGGGGAAACGCTCCGATTGTAATTTGCTACATTCATGATGTTCAGGTTCAATTATGACGAAAGGTCAGCTCGAAGTCACCACGCTCGGGGACCTGCCTCCACCGCTAATTGAAGTGGGCCCCATGAACCAAACCATTCCGGAGGGCCAGCCCGTCACTTTACCCTGTGAGGTGTCCGGGGTTCCATCACCCGAGGTTCAGTGGCATTTTAATAAAGACGTTCTCGACGAGGAAGATGAAGACAGGATCACGATCGATAGTCAAGGCACCCTGACAATTCAAGGTAAATTTTGATCGATCCGTGTTTTCTTTACGAAAGAGCTGCGGGAATACCCACGGCTGCGCTGTCGGGGTACGACGACGAAAACGACGGACGAAAGACGCGATGAAAAATCGAATTCCCCGATTCGGAAATTCAATTTCTCTCCACTTTGACAGATCTCCGCTTCGAGGACAGCGGCATTTATACGTGCGTTGCGTCGAGCGAAAGCGGCGAAACCCGTCAGGCGGCCGCCTTGAACGTCGCATGTGAGTATTTTTCAGTGTTAGGAATTTCCTTCTCCAAAGCCGGATCGTCGTCGATAACGGACGTTCTCCCGCGTTTCAGCCGTGCACGATCCGAACGTCGCGTTCTCCCGGGCCCCGTCACCCGCGCTCCTACCCTCCGCACCGTCTAAGCCTCGAACGATGAATGTGAGCGATACTTCGGTGACGCTCGCTTGGGATAGGCCGCAGGACGAGTCCATGGGCGGCTTCCACAAAATCAAAGCCTACACCATCGAGTACTTCAGCGCCGATCTGCAGTCGGGCTGGGTGACGGTGGCCAACCGGATCGGCTCTGAAATCTACACCGTGAGCAGCTTGAAGCCCGAGACCAGATACGTATTTCTGATCCGAGCAGAGAACGCTCTCGGTACGGGAAGACCGTCGGAACTGTCGAAGGTCGTCAAAACGCTCGGCAGCCGAACGATCGGCGCTCCCGACCACTATCTGTCGCGAGCCCGAACGCAGCTGAGCATAACCGAGGTGTGAACCCCGACGATTTTTTTTCTCCTGCCTGTCGCTCCCCGATCTAGAGAGAAGAAGTATTTTCTTCTCGGGAGAAATATGCGAATTGTATTTTGATAGAATTCGCGACGAGATAATCGATCCGCAGGTGAACCTCCGCAGCGTAAAAGCCGTAAACTCAACCGCCGTCGGTCTCGAGTGGCACGTGGCAGGCGACAAGGACTTCATCGAGGGCTACTACATTCGCTTTAAGGACATGGGCGGCAGCACCAACAAGTACAACATGGTGACCGCTTGGGGCAGCAAAGTTTCCCGCTATGTTCTCAAGGATCTGAAAAAGTTCACGAAGTACGAGGTATTTCTAGTGCCGTTCTACAAGAATGTCGAAGGGCCCCCGAGCAACACGCGAGCTGCGACAACGCTCGAGGATGGTGAGTGTGGAACGACATTCCAACATTAGTGCCGTGTCGGTCAACATGTGGCTCAGTCAGTTGTGTCGGAAATCGTAGTAATCGCTGTTTCCACATCCACAGTTCCCTCCGCGCCTGTCAACGAGATCTCCGTCAATGTGGTGAACATTAGCAGCGTCTGGGTGCAGTGGAAACCGCCCCCAAGTCAACATCGCAACGGGCTCCTGTTGGGTTATAAGCTGCTCCTGCTCGGCCCGCTCGACACCATGAACCAGAACGTCCTCACGAACACGACGCATTACGTTTTCAACAACCTGATCGAAGCCATGCGTTACAAGCTGCAAGTGTTGCCATTCACGGCTGTGGGCGACGGTCCGCCGAGCCATTTCGTCGATTTCTCCACCGACGAACTCTCCCAACCCGTGGCCATCAGCAGTCCCTTCATCCACGAACGATGGTTCATCCTGATGTTGAGCTTCATCTTCTGTTTCTTGTTGATCACCATCGGTATTCTGCTCTACCTGTGCAGAAGACAGTACGCCTTGAAAACCACTGTTTCGGCGGTGCCCGTCACGAAGGGAGCCGATCTCAAGTAAGTTCCAGAACGAATCGGAGGGATCAGCTCGTGGTAGAAATTTCTCCAGTTGAAATCTAAGCGCCTGTCTAACCTGTTCTAGTAACTGTTTCGCGAGTCTCACTCACCCGGTGAACGATAACTGGACTGGTATTAACAGCTATACGGAGAATAACAAGACTGTATACGAGAATAAGCTGAGTGCGCTCGACGGGATCGACTATGGCGCGTAAGTTCTCTCGTTTTCTGCATGGGCTGCTCCTACTGAGAGAGAGAGAGAGAGAGAGAGAGAGACACGCACACAGAGAGAGAGAGGAGAGAGAGAGAGAGAGAGAGAGAGAGAGAGACACAGAGAGAGAGAGAGAGAGAGACACACGCACACAGAGAGAGAGAGAGGAGAGAGAGCGTCAAATCGAGTTCGTCCGAGCCGGGCGCGGATTTTCGAGCGAACGAGGTCCTCAAACGATTTCGTTCCTTGCATTTTCAGTGAGTACGCACTCCCCGACGTGAAGGAAAGCGAATACGCTGAAGTCGGCCAGAACCTCAACACGTTTGGCAAGCGATTTGTTTACCAGCAGCAAACACCGGAACCCTATGCATCAACAACCCTAGTCGCTCCCTTGGACTTCACTTCGAGAACTGGCAACGGAGTAACGATCAAGTCGCTGGCAACGCGAGCCTCGGTCACTAGATATTCGAACACACTCGGGCCTCAAGCTCCTCATGAACTCGATAATTTACTCCAGGCGAATAGTACAAGCGTAAACAGTGGCTCGGGCGACTCGGCGAGCTTCGGACGTCGGAGCGGTCTTAGCGGTGGATCTCATACGGAGTGCAGTAGTTGCGCGGGCGTCCACCTCGAGGACGAATGTGACGAGCCCATTTACAACACGGTCCCGGACGAACTCGACCCGTTTGAGAGGAATTTCAGCTGCCAACGACAAAGAGTAGACAAGAAGCTAAAAATAAAAAATTGCAATTTCAACTCGTTACAACACATGGACGACAGCATCACGGTGCCTTCATACAGCAAATCTCTCTGTTCGCCCTCGACACCTGCAGCGAGCCGCAGGAGCGGCGCTAGTACCCGAGCGCAGCTGTAAGTGACATCGAGAGCGTTGCGCCCGACAATAGCGACCCCAGCAATAAAAAGAAAGTATCTCAGGAGGTTGACGGAAGCAGGCAAATACGGGGATGCATTTAAAAAGACGAAGCAATGACATCCGAACTACACAGAACACACAAGGCAGGAGAGCACATTCCCCCCTCCCGCTTGTGCCGGGGGTGAGCATCAATCGGAGGAGCCTTTCAGAACCGACAACATATCAAAAGAATGCCCGAATCTCGCCGATCGACGTTGCCGTGAACGGAAGACGACGGCAGTTCATGTTTCTTTTTCCGCTCGAAATTCCGGGCTGATCTCTAATCGGAACGCGGACGCTGCGGGAAAGGAGCCTCAAGCTCGTCACTCCTCGACAGCCTCTAAATGGACGACGACTAAAGTTTCGGTGCGTTCGCATGAGGCCAGAATCTCACGGAGAAGAGAATAGAATCCTTCCACTCTCGATGGAAACGTGTGGTGCCTAGTCAGAAGAAGTCACAAAAGAAGACGGAGGAAAATCGGAACAAAAGAGCGGATCCTGTTGGAGGAGTTGCGTATCCGGTCGAGGAAAATGACGAATCAAAGCAACGTGTACATATCCGAAACGTAGTGAGCACAGCATTCGGCGGAGATTTCTGTCCCTGCTGTGTGTACAGTGAGTGTAAATAGTACGTAGCAGCCAGTAAGACTAGACTTGTCGACACAAGCGACAAACCTCGGAATCTCTGTTGAGCGACGGGATGAAAGTGATGAATGCGGACATGGAAGAAAAATTTTCGTCTGATCGGGAATTCCGATGTCGTACTGGAGGAAGGAAGCTCATACCTCATAGAGGTTGTCTGGAGCGATTGCCGATGATTCCGAATCGGGTCAGTATTGAATCGATTGGAAGGGACATGGTTCTTTCGAAAGTTAAGAAACAACTTATCATAAAACTTGACAGAAGACTTTTGCGAAAGATCGGAGAGGCGCACTGACACAGGAGCAGAAGAACGTCATTTGTTCACGGGATGAGTGCGAGCCTGAGCGTGTGAATGTGCGACATCGGGAGTCAATCAATAGGGAACGACTCGAACGAATGGAATATCAATATTATACGAACAGCCTGTGATACTATCCAATAAGGTCATTCGGACGGAATGTGCCCCATAACTACTGTAACGGTCAACGGTGATCGACTTACAATAATTGAAGAAAACAAGCAGCGAGGCGAAGTAGTGTTACGAAAATTGATCAATAATCGTCATGTAAATAAACGATTTTGATACCGATTCCGGAAAGAAGTTCCTTCTCTCTATGAACTCTTCGACATTCCGTAGACCATCGTAGACATTCTCGAAAAAGGAATTCCGGATTCGTGTAATTGCTTCGGTCCTGCAAGGCGTAGGCAGGATTCACTATTCGAAATTCTCGGGGGCAAGAATTTCCTCGGAGCAAGACGAGCTGCTCCGATGTGGGGAATCGACCTGTTATGGAAAAGGCTCGAACTTATCGCAATCGCGGCAGAGCCTCATGTGTTTGGTGGACAGGAATCGCGGAATTCTCTAATTGGATTTCAACAGGGCCCTCGTCGTCCGCTCCCCAGGAGAGAGCCGAGAGACGTCCCGACGGCGGACAGGGAAACGGTTCGATAGAGAGAGGGACCGACAGCCAAACGGACGGTCGGCAGGCAGGGGCCGTCGAGCGGACTCAACGACCGACGGACTGGCAGACAGATAGACAGCAACCAATCTCTAAAAACTCAGTCGACCCCTATCGCAGCCGCAGTGATCCCGTTTTCTATCTCGATCTCTTCATTCATCCGCGTCCGACAGTCGAGCACCGTGTCGGCGGTCCTGAGCTCGCTCGGTACAGTTTAATTAATACGTCCGTCGGTCTAGGACCCGCCGCCGCACTCGATAGCCTCAACTCGTCCGCCCGGATCGAGGACGACCAACGGTCGAATCAATTTATATCGGAGAACTGTTTCAAGACTTCGCCACACAAGTCCTGGATTTATTGCGGTGATTCAAGCCGAATTCCGAGAGTGTTAATGAAGCTCAGGGGAATGCGGTCTTGAGATGTTCTCCATCGAATTCGATGCGAGAACAGAGGAGAAAAATCATAAATCGGTTCCTGCTCTGGAACTGTTGGTTGCGAAGGAAGAGCGACGCTCCCGAACCGGAATTCCTGATCTGGTGGATCCCGAGCGTGAAGGGCGAGCATCCGATCCCGAGCATTACTATATTCTGCTCAGGTAGACTTTACGTCTCATTTCCTACCGAATAACGACCTCATAAGGGAAGGTGGCCGCGACGTTATACCCTTGTGCTCTATCCGGGCCCAATACAATCGTAAATCATTGTCCGGCTCTTGAGAAGAATTATTGCCGCACCGTGATCTCATCTAATGTCTAATGATGGCCCTCCCGTTCCATGTGGTGACGGGCGTACGTTCTGTCGGTCCGACGCCGACGGTCGGCCCGACAGCCCGTCCGTCTGCTCGCTCGCTGATCCATTCAAGGAATCCTCTAGGCAGTGTTTGCGCACCAGTGGCAAATCCGTTAGGTACACCAGGCGTAGGCGACTCTGCTCATGGCTTGCTGTCGGCAGGCGAGTCAACGGGGCCCCGCTTGTGAGTCCGCAGCGGATCGGGAGCGCTGCAGACGAACTGGGCCTTAAATCAACGGGGATTACGCTCTCTTCTCTGTTCGTTGGCGCTTCTTCTCGGCTCTTTTTTCTCTGCTCCTCCTTTTTCTCGCTAGCTGCCGGTGGCAATTTTTGGCTTTTCTCCCCTCACGCACGCAACGAGATTTCGCCGGAACGCACGCAGCGTCGGATGATATGCTGCCGGCGGAAACAGCAATATTATGCAAGTCCCGGAGCTTCGCAGATAATGCAACTTCACATCCGCGGGTCTGATCTGCCGTTATTGGCTTTTCGCGGAATTTCATTTCCTTGCGTGGCTCGATTGGGAAACCTTGCAGGTAGGAATTTCGTCGGGACGACCTTGTTCCATGGAGCTCGACGAGTTCGCTTCAAACGATCGTCGTACTCGTCGCGCGACAGCGATTCGGAGCAAGAGTAGCTAAGGTTGATGGTATCAGCGACAAATCGTAAAGTAGCCGGAGACAGCCCCCGGGGCATCTCCATAGCCGAGGAGAGGAATAATCTGACTCATCCTTCTTTATGGCTAAGATGCCCCAGGAGAGCCCGAGATCGAGACGACGGGCTTTCCTTCTGTTTTTGTTTCGATTGCAGTTGGTTCTCGTTTCGCTTTCTCCTACACACTACACTGGAAAAGTATCCGGACCGAAAGCGGCTCGGAGCTGAGCTGGGGCTGGGTTCGCTACTCGTTGGAATGTGCTCTACTCTCGCAATGAGATCAAGGGAGGGAGTTACGGAAAAACATATCTGGGTCAACGGATTGCATTTTATCCTCCGCAGAATTGCGATGGTCGGGCAAGAGCAAGCGACTCCCCGAACGAACGACATGTTCTCCGTAGGTGGTCAGTATGCAAAACGTCGTCCGGCCCGGAATTAAATGAAACCATTTGTAGCTGGAGTGAGGCCCTCCCGCTCGAACAGTTGCGTTGGTCCGACGCGACGGTCCGCCCGCACGGTCGCCCGCCCGCAGGGGCTCATCTGCAAAAGTGGGTCGTGATCGCATTTAATAAATGACTGACACCAACAAGAGCGGCAGCAAGATCCGACGAAGCGCAAGTCGAGTGCAGCTCCACAGGCGTCCAAAGATAAATACAATGAGACATAAAGCGGATAAACGACAAAGAGAATGTAGTCGGCTGCCCCGAGCGTGTCAAATTCACAAATGGAGATGAGATGTACTCGAGATGTTCCCAGTTTCTTCGAAATTTGATGCCACTCACCGCAAGAATAGTCAACAGAGTACGTCGCACCATGCTCGTCCCCCCCCGACATTCCGGCATTTCACATCCAGAAAGTAGTCCCGACGCAGTCGCAATGGAATTCCCGCGACTAATTTTCGCAGGAATATCCCTTGAGGTCCGGAGGTTCGAGGAACCCTCCAGCGAGGAATACCTCGTTCCGAAAAATGAGCGCGACCAACAACCGAGTTTCGTGAAATTTCCCTTTCCAGAAGAGCTTCTCCGGTCTCGTCCCGGTGAAAGGAGCGTCTGCGTGAGTTTGGAGCATTTCCGAGGAACGCAAAATTAAATTCCGGAAGGAAACGAGCCGTGAGCCTCTGTCGGGAGCCCAATTCTGACGAGGTAAACGGCGAACGAATCAGTGTCGACAGCGATTAGGAAATCTTAGTTCCTGGAATTGAATTTTTTCCCAGGATACATACAGAGGGCGAGTGTCGCTGCGAGTCGTGAGTAGCTCTGAGGAACGTCCATTTTCGCTCGAGTGACTCTAGATAGCTCGGGCTCGAGGCTCGCTACATACCTCACTACCTAATCAGCCACTTACGAAGACGACGACGACGGCATCTTTCGTACCTGGTGTCGAGCGACGACCGACCGCTTGCCAGCCAGCCGAGCGACGACCGACCGAGGATGAGCGGGTAAGAGCGCGCAAAGTGATTAATTTTCTTCAACTACCTTGCTACCTGGACTCGACACAGGGAGCTGAGGAGCTCGCTGGAGAATCGAGGGAGAACCCACGTGGAACAACGATCAGGAGAACGCGGTGAACAATGTTGCGCGATCTCTAATTGAATATTCGTTCATCCGAGCAAACAGGGGACGACGATCCGCGAATGTGTTGTGCGACTTTCCCGTCGGAAATCCCAGCGATTTCGAACAGCGCGCCGACGGTATCTAGAAGATCCAACGACGACGGATGGGGAGTTTCGTAAAACCTCTCCGGAGACGAGGACGGCCCTGGGGGGATGCTGAGTTCTCTTCTTCAATTGTGGTTTATAATGTCCTGATGAATCGAGCTCCGAGAGCACGTTCGGCTCTGCCTGGACACAGTCGAATTTATACGGGGAACAAGTCCATTGGTCAGATGTAGACCGGGGCTACGATGAGGCAGAGGAAGTTAAGTGACCGGGCTCGAGTCAGTGGGGCAAGCAGAGTCAGGCCCAGCTAGTCAGATAGCGAGACTCCGATACAAGAGAGACATGGAAAAATGGAGAGCGGCGCTAGACGGGGCAGAAAAAGCAAGAGGGACGGGAGAGCTGGACACGAACAGCTTAGCGGGATAGCTAGCGAACGACTGACCAGCGAATGAGGCACGTCCACAGGGACGAGAAGGAGGTGGACAGCAGGAAATTCGGCCCAAACTCAGTCAACTGGCATCGGACAAGCGAGCGCTGCCGCCCTTACAAAGAATCAACCAGAGAGCGAGTGCCGGTGGTCGTCGTTGGTATAGCTGGCTAGATTAATATACTGGCGGGGAATCAGTCGCACGGAGAACCGGTAGAGTATAAGACAGCACAAGAGGCCTCCACTTGACGACATGACCGCTCGGATTGGAGAAGACATTGACATGTCGAAGACACGATAGGATTCCTTGCTTTCAGGCTGGAAGTCGTCTCGTCCATTCCCGATCCAGTCCAATTAGGCCGGGCAAGATCCAAGATACGAGCGAGAAGAATTTTTACGAGAAGAACTCATTTCCGGCATTTTTCCCCTCATCGCGGCTGACCGAAGAAACACGACAATGAAAGAAACATATGTTCGCTCAAAATATCGACAATCAGCTGAGAACTACTAGTGGCGAGTCATTCGCCGGACTCATCGTGATCTCTATTTGGGGCTTCGATGTCGGCGAAAAGCGGCGGTTCAGGAATTCGAGAGACGATGGGGAAAAGTCGAGGGAGATGTTCGGCGAGCGGCTTCACCTGAGAGTCTGGGCTGCGCGGAACGACGAGGTATGGGAAATATTAAATCGTTCCCTCAAGCTCCCCACTTGAGAGAAGGTCTCATTAAAAATTAAGCACGCCAAAAAAAGAGCCCGGGGTGGGTTCGCGAGCGAGTCCCGCGAACGGGCGGGTGGGCGAACGATCCAGCTAGCTCATGACGGATGCCATAAGCGTCGCTGGCATGACGGAACGCTGAGAAAAAATCGGGAGAAAGAGCAGCGATCCTGCATAAACCATTGAGTCCCACGAATCCTGCGTCTGTATAATTCAGAACAATTGGGGGAGCCAGCGACGAGAAGCTTCGTTCATTCGTCATTGGAGCTCCGAGGAGCAGCTCTCGACAGAACGAAACGAGAAGAGTCGATCGTCTACTCGGCATCGATTCATTCGCAGTTCTCCGCGTTTATCCGCGAATGCTCGACGATTGTCTTCTTCCACCTGAACTTTCCTCTCTAATTAATACTTGGTCGGTGGGAGCGCGCGCTAGGACGCCAACACCGGTAAGGCCGGCGCAGCACACGTGTGTGGTTAAACAATCACAGCTCGGTCTTGGCCGTGGGGCTCTAGCCACCGAACACACTCCAGCCAAGGCTCGTGTCCCTGATTGTCTTGCTTTTAGTCACTGCATACGCCGAGTTCCATCAGTGGGGGCTTCTCTCATTCTGCCTGTCCATCCTCCTACCTATCTGTCTATCTATCTATCGCCTTCGTCGGTGGTCGTCTTCGTTTACCTCCTTCCACTTCTCTCTCCGTCTCTCTCGTTTTCACCTAGTTAGCGGCAATGGAAGAACGGCAGTCAAGGAAAGTCGGGAAGATGCCCCCGACCAGCGTTCGTCGTTGTCGTCGACCGGTGGAAGCTCTCAGCCGAGACTTCTTGACGTGGGTCCCATTAGTTTTCTCCTCTATCTCTTCTTTCTACCTTCTTTTCCTCTCTCACGCACTCGTTGTTGCTCCCATCTTTCTCTTCAGTCGACTTGGAGAGGAGATCCCTGCGGATTCGCAGCGTGCCGACCTCTTTACCCGTCTACTCTTTCCAACGAATGAGAGGAACAGCGAGGTCGAGCCAAAGGAGGGAAAGTATAGTAAGAGGATGCGAGACGAGCGCCAAGAGAATCAGAATAGTCGACCGCCTGCGAAGGTAAACATTTGCCTCGTCCCCCGCTCGCCGTTGCATCGCACCGCGCCAACTCAGCTACCCGATGCCATCATTGATCTCCATCTGCCGGCCACAAAGAGTGGTCATGGAATAGAGAGTTTTGGGTTCGAGCCTCCGGTAGAATCGACGCGAGTCTGACTGGACTCTGCGCTCAGAGACGGACAGAAAAAAAAATCGATCGCGGATTCGAGAATGAATAAATCAATCAACCAATCAATGATGGAAAATTCACAGAATGGGTAGAGCCAACGTTTCCTACGGGGCTCCAGTGTTTTTCGGCGTCGTGGGGCTTCTCGAAACGATCTGGGAAAAGTCGCCGAAGCACTTGTACGCTCGAACAAATAGAAAAGTAGGAGGAAAACTTCAATGGACCCACTTGAAGAAATCGAGTGCTAGTGGTCGTCGCGGTTGTCGTCGTCCAGCTGCACCCGCACAGCGGTCGGTGACTTCGATCGGTCGTTTTGAAGTGCATGCTGGAGCGTTCCGCTGAGTTTGTTTCGACCAGGTCAGTGGGGCTGGAGGTATGTTCTATGACAGAGAGGCTTTCCTTGAAACCAGAGGTTTTAAAGAGCTTCTTGTTCAGCTTGTTCTTCTACTTTCAAGCTGCGGCTGTCCGACATAAAATGTACGCTGTCTGAGGCTCTTCGGTCACTAATGCCGGGGAACGTACAATTTCCTCCTCATGCAGGCCTTTGACTCTGTTTCTCATTTTCTTTGTCTCTGAATTGGGTGCAGTAGGGACAGACCTTCTTCTACACGAAGTCGTCTCGATTTAGGCACGGTGATCCCGGAATTCGAAACAGAGGCAGAGGGACTAGGTGAACCCAGGCTCTAAATAGGTCTATCGATGATTTACGCGCGCCTTCATCGGCTCTGGGATGGACGAGCCGTCCAGCTCAGCATAGCTACTCGTCAAAAGAAATAGACTAGTTAGCAGGCACTCGGTCCAACTTCCAGCCGCATGCTTGTTGATTACTATTCGTGATGGGAGGTGAGCGGAACGGCAAACGAATGTCTGCCAGATTAAATTAGTATCAACACATGCACTCTTGGGACACAACCGGAGATGAAAGGAGCCCGTGTGACCCCTCAACGACCCATACCTAGCACGGACGGCGTTTGCACGCTCAGCAACCGTCCCAACAGCGTCTGACCGCTCGCGCACCACCGATGGCCCTGCTTCAAAGCGTCCTCCAGAACAAGGCTAAAGAGGTACACACGTCCTGAGAGATGATCGTGGACACGGAATCGAGCTCTGAAGTCGTCCTCAAAAATAATAATCAAGCAATGGTAAATTCAGAATCCTGAATCTTCTGAATTGTCGAAGGACGTGTCTTGACGTACGATCCGTACTCAGCTCGGACTCACCTTCTCTCTCCGTTCTCGACGTGGCGCTGTAATTATCAAGAGAATGGAAACCCTGACGTCGCGGTCGACGCCCATCGTACACATGGCAGACGGAGCGATTCCCCAATGAGATTTGACAATGATTCGAATCGTTGTATAAGAAGCTCGGACGAGCTGCGATCTGTTCGCGCGCGTACGCGAGATGATACTTCTCGTTCGTGCCATCATGTGTGTCTGTGTGCACGAGTGTTGTGTTTTATTCAGCAAAGCAAATCTTGTTACGATAGCATACCACTCTCGAAACAAGAAGTCGATGAACGTCTTCCCTCCACAGACGTCTGATGGCCGCCCCGCTGTTCTCGGTCCGAGCCCTTCCATGCGTCTTGTGCGAAGTCTGCATTTTTGACTGGGTTCAATTCAACTCCGGGTTTGGCTGCATATGACTCGGAGGAACCGAAGGAGAACAATAGCTTCGGAATTTCACCATCGGAATGGGCGCGGGTGGACGTTCCCCAGAGATCCAATCTAAGATAGCAGTTTTCGATGAGCGGAGCGGAGGTTGCGAAATATCTCTTGATAAACGACCCGTTCAGACAGAGGAACCGCTGAGATCGATTATTATCGCGTCGCTCGAGAGTCGGAATCCGCAGATAGCTCAGCCTTCAGTAGCGTTGATCTCCGACGAGGAACCTCGCTGATCTGCCGTCGTCGGTAGAACTGCCAACGGTAGAATCGACATTTTCTGGTGGCCGAAACTCCAGAAATGGAGCCAGTTTCTGGCTCTGAGCATGGATCCGATTCCCCTGTCCGTCGGGACTACGGCGCCGGCGATAGCTCAGGCTGTGCTTCTATTATTAGCGCCACCCGCCGTCTTTCTTGGCGCTGTTTTTCTGCAGCAACAAGGGAGAGGAAATAGCGGGAAGTTTTTGCCACCCTGACCACCCTATACTATGTGACTAAGTCAACTATTCCGTCTGCCTGACTATTCGCTACACCGAGAAGCGATGTCAACTGATTTTTGTGTCTTTTCTACTGTCCCGTTCGACGATATATAGGCGCTAATCGGAACACAGATCGAACACAGGGCGAGACGCCGTAGTGAAAATGGAAATCTCAGCCCTCATCGTCATGTTCTTGCTCTCGGTCGCCAACGCTGGCCGCTACGGAGGGGGCGGCGGTTACGGCGGTCACCGAGGCTACCGGGACGACTACGGCCATCGAGATGATTACGGACACCGAGGCTACGGAGGAGGAGGAGGAGGTGGCGGGGGCGGAGGGGGTGGAGGAGGCGGCTACGGGCATCGTGGCTACGGCGATGACTACGGGCATCGCGGCTACGGTCATCGAGGCTACGGAAGCGGTGGTGGCGGAGGAGGAGGCGGCGGAGGTGGATATGGTAGAGGTTGGGACCGTTACTAGACCAGGAGTACCTACTTTCGGATGAGACCCGTGTCGGACTACTGTATAGATTTCCGGGAAGCTAGTATGTTGTAACAATAAGCATCATATCAATAAAGAACGAGGGAATATATGAATATGGAATGAAGATTTCGAGGCGGAACTGGACGCCTGGAATTTTTTTTGCAGCAAAACTAACCTTCCTGAGATCTGCGATACCTGTTCGGGGTGAACCGAACAGCTGAGCTCACGTGGAGAACTCGCAATTATTCTGAGAATTCCGCAGAATGAATCACATATCCGGTCTCGCTCCGCAGAACGAGTGACAGACCCTCATCATTCTCGAGAAGCTCAGATCCAGACCATGGAGCCGGGACTCATGTTCGTTGTCGGAACCAACTTTTCCTCCGCTAGCAGTCCGCTGGAGTGTTTAAAAGGTGATTATAGGCTCGATAAGCCCTTTTCCTTCTTCCTCAGTCACAAGCCGTAGCGAACCCTTGTCGGCTCTTTAGTGTCCGCACTTTGGTCCCTTCTCAAGTTCTAGCCTCCAGCGGCGGTGCGGCGTGGGCAACGTGAGAAGCTGTCTTTGAAAGAGCGGCGGCCGCGGTGGTCGTCGTCGTCGTCTTCGAGTGAGGTCTTCTTAGTGCACGCGTCGTTGATAAACTGCGTTATTCATAATCCTCCGCGGGCGAGCGGCTCCTCGACTGGGAGGTAGGTAAGTCGACGCCGGTTCCCGCATATGTCCAGAGGGCTCGCGCTCACTCAGCGTTGTAGCGAAGTCGGAGAAAAGTAGTATCATCTTCGCTTAGGCAGACTATCCCCGCTGTCGATGCAGCGGCGACAAGGTACCGCTGGTCTCAATGGAGTGGAAATTTCACCTCCGAGGAGCGCTTCGGACGCCCCTGCTTGTTAAGAAGTCGTCGTCGTCGACGACAGCGGCGGCTTAGCGAAGAAAAACGCAAAATACCGGAATAATCACGAGCACATGGGACCTGGGGACATCGTCTCAAGTTTTGGTATTTTCGACTTTATATTTCCGCTTGCTGCGAAACCAACGAACCTGATTCGAGGTTCCCGAAACGTATCGGCCGATACAACGTTTCCATTCGGACGAGCATTTTTCGGGGTATCAACCGGTACATTCTCGGCATGTTTTGGATGATAATGAAACCGATGTTTCTAACTGCAGGGTATAATTATCCATCCCAAATGAAACTTCTTATCATGATTTCCGAAATGCCCGGATCGCGGGGAGTTACTGAAAATCCCTGAACCCGTATGATTGATCCCACATTCCGCTTGTTCGGCCGTATAGGGTCGGTTGTTGGGAGACAATCGAAACGGTTCTCGTTACTGCGCACCTGGGAAGCTGTACTCGGATTGCTAGAGGGCTACCGCACGGTCCCGCCGCAATGAATGACGGCGCTTGTGTAGCAAAAGACCAACTACAAGCTGTCGTCCGCAGGAGGAGAAGACAACAACGAGAAAAACGTGCGTGTTGAGGACCTCGGAAATGAGAACGCTATTAGCAGCAACTCAACGGACATCAATGCTTGTCACACGCACACCGCGGCCAGGTGGCACGGTGGCCCTCGGTATGTCGGAGCGATGCAGTTGGAGCAGCAGTTGTAGCGAAGCGTCAGGTGGACCATCTCCCAGAGTGTAATCGGCTGCAGTGTCCATGGCGTAATGGATTCGATTGACGCTTGTGTTACATAACATTAGCCACACGGCAAGGCGCTCGATGGTAATTACTCGAGGGACAGCCGATGCCCGCCGATTCAGTCTTCCGACAAACTCGCCTAATGGTGGAAGAAATTACGAGAGAAGATTCGGCTCGAGATCAATGGACACCCGAGAAAGACGAATATCGGTTCTGTCATTTTCGAGAGCGCCAGTCGTACCACGCTTCCGTACCCCGCGGATTCCGGGGACCTGGTGGTCGTTGAATTGTGGAGGAAGTTTCGTACCTACGCGTTGTGGGCCGGACAAACTGAGTGGGGCGGTTGGACGCCGAAAGCTCGAAGCATCTCAGGGTCGGCCACTCACCGAGCGCATTCAAGAAGAGAGGACACTATAAAATCCTGATAACCCTCTCCGAGAGTAAACGTCAGTAGGTTCCTTTCTGGTTCGTCAACTAATTTCACCCTCGAGTTGTCAAAGTTTTGCGAGCTCGCCTACCCATAAAGCGGCGATAGGAGGAAACGGAATTTATTGAGGGACGAAGTTGGACTTGATAACACATCCTTTGACGCACGTAGCGAATACTTTCTGCTTCGGGGCGGTGGCGCCCAACGGTACCCCGCTTCTAATCCCTCGCCGGATACGTACGGTCGCGCCGCCCGACGTCCAATCGTTGATACTTTCGATCGACTCGATTTGCATTTAAGATCCACCCGCCGCTCTCTACTCTATCCGGATCACTCCTTTTGATATGGCACTCGGCTTTCCACTATCGTTATTTCGGCCCATGGTCTCGCGACATACGGCGATTGGATGAATATGGCCAGGATTCATAGAAGTGTAGGACCAGGATCTGCTCCGGACAAAAGGGATCGGTCGAGAAGAAAACGATTTCTAGACTCATTGCTGCTGGTCGCGCATTCTCCCCCATCTGTTCGGAGCTTATCTGCCGACGTTGGGACCATCTCCTCGGATGTCGGGGTTCCTCGGGGCAATATCGTCTTCGAGGACATTCTTTCTCCTTTGAGCTTCCTTCCAGCTGCTTTGTGTGGTCCCTCCTCTTGCTCACCGAATGGAGGAGCAAGATCTATGTCGTCTCCGACTACCTGACTCTCGTCGGCGATCAGGCACTCAGCGAGCGAAGTTTTCTGTCTAGCTGAAGGCAATTGCCTCCGCCATCGTTTTTGTGACTGGGACGGAGAGCAGCGATCGAGCCCACCGGTCGACGGACGAGTATTCAGCTCCCAATGATAGCTGTTAGCGAGCGTATCACCGCGCTGAATTCGCTATTTATTGTCTTCTAGCCCATCAAGTTGCCGGCGGGTGTTGCACACTCCCTCCCTACAGTCGCAGGAGAAGCAACAACAACAGCAGCATCAACAACAACGGATCTCGAACTGACACCGGTGACAGACCGGTTTCCGTTGATTCCGGGTGGATCTGACGATCGACTCGGCTCGAATGTTTGTCTTTCGGAGTTTTCCCCGCAATCCGTAATACGCCCCGGCGTCCTCCGACGCTCGGCAAAACAAGCGATTTTTATGTTCAAGTCGTTTGAAATAAAACGGCACACTGTCATGTGGTGGAAGCGAGTCCGCCGACTCCCTCGCTACTTTGTGGAAGCCGCAGATTCCCACGTTGAACGGTTGGATGAATCTTTCATGAAGCAAAATTTCTGCTGCTCCATCCCAAGCACTGTTGTGTGGTTGGTGCATGCATGGATGTGCGAGCGAGCGAGCGAGCAAGTCTGGCTGAAAATTGCGGATTCGGCAGCGATGAAGTTTAGGCTGGACCCTCCGGCGAGAAGACCTCACCAGGGAGTGCCCTCACATCCACTCAAAAACGTCGGAGGTCCCAAAGCTTGCTTGTGATGCTCGGAAGGCGCTCGCGTCTAAGGCCCTCAGCTTCACTCGGTTTCGCTTCGCCTCGAGCCACGCTGCCCCCCTTTTTAGGTATTTCCAAAGGGTGGGGAGGGGGTCGGGTTATTTCGCATCGGACCTTAAGAGACCAGCGCATCCGACAAAAACCCTCGGGTCGACTCGCTCCCGGAATCTGCGAGAGAAATAGGAAGAATAAATCAATTTTTGAACGAGGAGACCTCTTCAGGGGATCGGTGGTTTGCGGCGACGGTGATTCCACAGTGGCGCCGTTAAATTTTAAACGGTTGTTCGGGTTTTAAGACCTCTGGGCTTCCCGCGGGGAGGATGACGCTGAGAGAATTCACGAACGAGATTGCGACAAATCGAATCCTCTGTGATACCCTCTCCTGTCCCGGACCTGCAATAAAGCGAAGATACTTGTTGTATCGATGTCGACGTTGATGCTGGTGGTGGTGGTGGCGGTGCTGATGTTGTGTGTTATCTCTGCTTTCATTGAAAACGCATCAGCGAACGGAGCTGGAGTCCGGTGTCATCTCGCCAACGTCTCCTCATTGAGTCGCAATGGCTACTGTGGCCAATGCATCCGTTATCTTTGGACGGCGCGACGTCGACGTATTATTCCCGTCCTCCTTATTTTCGGTGTTTGCCGTAGGTGGACGGGACGGCTAACCATTATCAGGATATAGCGGTCCCTCGGGCCGCATCGAATGAGAGAAGGCCATCTTAGGAAAATCTCAGGAGATGGGCCTGTCCGGTTCCTTTTCCTCTCGCATCTTCTCTGTCTCGTGTGTCTGCTTATTAATGACGCCAGCCGCGGTCCACAATAGGGACAGATAAATCACCGCGCACCGACGCTCAGAACGAACGGATCGCGTGGCGGCGGCGTAGCCTTCTCTATCTTCGTCCTCCCGCCTCACTCAGCGGACGGTCAGATCCACAATGTATAGATCAGTTACCAAACGAATCCTCTCTTCTCGCCCTCTTCAAGGAACGGAGCAGCGGCAATCATTCGATTTTCCGTTGCTCGAAACACGACCGACGGAAGTCTGCCTACGCCCGACTATGAGAGTATGCATGTACATACATTGTGCATTGTGGGGCCGTGGCTCCAGGAGAAGGGTGTTCCGGTACACTGAACAGGACCCTCTGGAGTTTTGAATTTTAAAACAGAACTCAGCCATGCAATCAATACGTCAGCAAGGCTTCGAATGTTGCGCATTGCTGACGCAATTCATCGGGGTGAAAAGCTCATGTCTTCGAGTTTAATCCTCGTTCTCTCCTCCCCCCTCGCCCTTCCTCCTTCTCCTCTTTCCCCGCCTTCCCACAATTTTACTGTGGGGCAAGGGACTTGTTCTGTGGTGAACGGAGTATTCGTCGTCGTCGTCGTGCTGCTCAGGAAGACGGTTCGTTTTCAGCTCTCGACTAAATTGGATTGAGATCAAGAGGTGCAGGAGTAAC